AATAGAAGAAGAAGAAGAAAATTCCAGAGCACTGGCATTCCTCCTCATCAATCGTCATGAGCCATTCAAACATTCGTAGGCAAAAGTGTACTTTTAGTTTTACAACTTTATACGAGTTTCAATTTAGTTAATGAATTTTAAGAAGTATCTTTTTTGTTCTTATAATCCTAAAACCATTAGCTCAGATGATTATTATTTTGTAATAATTACCCTTATTGTAAAAATTAAATTTAATATGTTAGAGACTTTTTAATTATCATTTCCTTTTAAATATTTTATTTTATAAAAGGATCTTTTTCTTAATCTCTAAATTTCAAAAAATTTTGTCCTTGATTATAATTAATGTTCTTAGAGACTTTTTAGTTGTCATTGTAAGACATATTCAAATATATATATATATATAAATGTATATAAACCAGATAATACAAATGTGAATCCTTTTATAAGAATACAGCAGAATACTTTAGAGTTATCTCTTGTTATAGCTTTTGCTTAATTGATCTTAGGATCTGAGATAGGAGATAAGAACTATAAGACAATATTAGAGTAGAAAGAAAACAATTTGTATAGGTCTCTTCTGACTAGCAAAAAGACACAGTGATGGCAACTGAAATCAGCCGTCACCAGTCAGAAAATCTCAAAAAAGTAGATAAGGTTTTTCTCTCTCTGAATGTATCGCTTAATATTTTGAGCCGTTAGAACACTTAATTGTAATTCTCACTATCAGAGTAAATACAATATTGACTGAAATTAATAACCCTAAGGACTTGGGCCTTATTTGACCTTGAGTCACACTCAGGACATTTTATTAATTTCCTAATTAAATATCTAAATAATTTTAATAATAATAAAATATCTTACAGTCATTTCATTTTAAGTAATGTTTAGAGTTCAAAAGTTTAAATAAAAAAAATCATGCTGGCAAAAAAAAAATCATACTAGAAAAACGACCTTAACTGAGTCCTAATCAAAATTGACACCTTAGATAATCGTATTGAAAAAGGCAAGCATATTTTTTTTTGAAAACATTTTATCTTCAGAAAATGAAAATATTTATTGCCGTGTTTTTCAAGTATTCCTATGTATATCTTCACTAAATTTTATTAAGGAGTCAGAGAAACAACTATGGAGCGAATAAATAAAACAAATTAAACTTTTGTCGGGAAATTCAAATAGAGTTCTGATATCCTATTTGTTTTTTTTAAACTTGCGTAAAAAACCTTAAATGAAAAAAAAAAAGGGATATCTCACTGTTGCCATCGAGAAGCCGATCACCTGCTTTGGAAAAGCATGAAGTTTGATGAAGTTGGGAAAATCTCTACCGTACAACCAGTCAACAGACTAAAATGCGCCGTGTCTTTTTTTTTTTTCCTTCCCAATTTTCATGATTTCTGAACGGAATACTCGTAAATTTGTCAAGGATTAATGTGATTTAGGAACTCATTTCGAGACAAATATAAAATTTGAGATAATTTAGGAATTCTTGGAAGCCTTTAAAACACTATCCATAAGTTTACAAAGTCTTCTTATCACAAGAGTCAAGCCCACAAGGTTTTAACAAAATCTTGCCCCTTATTTGCAAAGGATGATACTGATAATACTCCTCGCATCTTTAAATATAAGACTTATATTTTATATTTAATTTTTTAAATTATTCTTAGTAATATTCCACAATAATAATCAAGTAGCTAGGGGAAATATGTATGGTATTAAAAAAAATAATTAGGATATTGTATAAAAAAAAAGTTTTATGTTTAGTATAATTAACTAAATTATCTAAATTAGCCTAATCAAATTAGTTAAATATTAAGTTTTATATCAAAAATCATATACATACATTAAGTCTTCGCCTGAAGAATTTGGATTGGATATCCTCTTTGGAAGAAAACAAAAGATCTCCGCAAGCTTCCAATTAACGTTCTTTTGGAGCTATTCAAAAAGCCTACCGTTATTGATAATGTGCTCCTCGAAGGGTCAAAGTGATAGCGAAGAAATTAATTAAAGACCGCACATATTTTTTTGTAATTTTCGTCTCTGTCATTATGAATTGCCCATTATTTTTCAAGTAACACTTTACAATCTGGATCCATCTGCATCGTTCACAACTTTTGTCTTTTTTTAATTAAATTCAAATATCTTTTTATCATAAGTCTCTTTTAAACACTATGAAGTATTAAATGTGAACAATTCTTTTAATATAAATTTAAAATTTAGTTTGTCATATTATAAAAGATTGGCTTTAACTTTTTCACTAAACTTAACTCGTACTAGTATTTCACAATTTTTCCATCATACGATAATTAAAAAACAACGTCGTGTTCCCTTACCGTTACGAGTTGTATGAGATATCTGCACCATGACATTAATAGGCTTTTTGAGTCCAATATTATAAACGGTAATATAAATTACCAAGATAGGTGGGATTTTAGAAATACACTGAACTTGTTTTTTACGAGATGTTTGAAAGTACTCAAAAATACTTATCACTTTTTTATAAAACGAGGCAAATTTTTTTATATATTTATTTTGTATATTGTAAAAGTATTTTTAAAATAATAGTTTAGTTTCTGTCCAAACACCTTCTTAAAAAAATGAGTTTTGCACCTTCAATTTTTTTTAAAATAGTTTTTTTTTTTTTTTATAAAAATAGTGGCAAGGATAGCCTGCTGCCTACTCCCTTTGACCTGTTCCCCTTCCGGACCTCATCCCGCTCTCCTCAAAACATTTTCCTCCCCACGTCACTTTTTCCATCATCGTCCCGTGTACACATGTGCACGCATCACAAATTATTATAATATTAATTTATATATAATATGATATATTTAAAAACTAAAATTAAATAAATTAATTAATACATACAATTTATGATATATTTAAAAAATAAAATAAAATAAAATAATTAATACATACAATATTTTTATATAAAATTCAATTGAAAAATTTTAAAAATTAAAAATATTACTAAATCATGTAATATAAGTGTAGAAGGGGAGGTGGCAGGCTATCCTTGCCACCACCTTTATAAAAAAACATTATTTAAAAAAAAATGAAGGTGCTGAACTCGTTCTCCCAGAAAACGCGTTCCGTATATTTTTAAAATCGCACGTCTTGAACAATTTTAAATGTGGTATCCTGATAAATAATTTTTATTAATATTATTGTTTATGGCATTTGGCTCACAAGCTGACATTAATGACTGATCTGGACTTGGATAAGACATGTTCCCTCGGGTAATCAACAAGACCATTGAAGGTACAATGGCCATATTAGCGTCTGTTTGCGGTAATAATAAAAAATACTTATAAGTATATTTTACGTGAGGTAAAATAATTTTTTTTCCATATGTTTACTTTCTATTTCATAAATTATTATTATAAAGCTATTTATAACTTAACTAAGATTTTTTTATTTGTGAGAAAGTTTAACTAATGTCTTATACTCTCTCCTGCTCAAAATACAAGTTAAACTTTGTTGAAGGGGTTTGATTTTTTTCCCAATAAAATAACATTAACTTTTGCTTAAACATTTAATGTATTTTTTTTAAAATTTTACCCTCATATATTCTCTTTTTTTTTATTCGTTTATGATTTTTTTACTTATTCTTTTCATTAATAAGGGCATGTTTGAGAAAAAATACATGATTTATATATTTATTGTTTTAAACTTATTTTAACTAATTTCTTGATAAACGTAAATGGACAGAATTTATCTTATAATTTGAACTAGAGAAAGTATAATATTATGGATCAGATGGAGTAGTTAGGAAAAACCATTTTTGAGGTCCCTGTAGTTTCCTTCAATTTCTAATTAATTAATTTGGAGTTTGTATGCTTTTTCTCTCCTTATCAAATCTTTTAGCACCATTAACCCCTGAAACTTTGCTCTGTTAATATTGTTAGCTCTTCTACAGAAGCTAATTATGTTAATAGCATAAAATTAAAAGATTTAATAAAAAATAACACACAGGTACCGCATTAATTTAACATAAATGTGCTATTAATTTTTTCTGTCAAATCTTTATTTTAAAATTTAACAAATTTTTAATTTTATCTCTATTTTACATATAGACTTTTCAACAAAATAACAATCAACGCAAGGAAAAATGAGGATAAAATAGTACATTTCTGTTAAACATGTGATAATATGACTTATAATAGGATAAACATCTTCTCTCTCTACGTTATAAATAGAAATAGAATAGTAATGTATAAATAAGCAAATTATGCAAATAAACAAGTTGGTTAAAAAAGATAGATAGTAAACAAGTATTTTATTTTTTAAAAATACTCTTATTTAGAGAGAGAGAGAGTTAATGAGAGAGATGATAAGTAGGAAAAAGATGTGCCTGAGACATAAATAACATTTGATTAATAGGAAAATAAATTTTTCAATAAAATTAATAGATAAAGAAATGAAAAAAGTTGGTTAAAATTTCAGACAATGTTTAAGTGTAGACTAATCCACGTCCACCTCTAAAAATTTAATTAGGAAAAAAATTAAATTTTCTTAATATGGATTTTAGGTTTATGGTTCTTTTACAAGCCGTGTTAAATTTTAGAATTCAGCAAATAATAATTGCCATCATTTACTGGCGATAAAAATTCTTCCTTCTTGTTTTTTTTTTTTTTTTGACCGGAATTCTTCCTTCTTGTTGACATATGCTTACATATATAAAAGTAGACACGATTTTTCAAAAGAAGGGGCATGGAAGAGCCCACACACAACCTAAGTATTCATTGGCCTGAAAGGGATATGTGAGGTTGAGACTTCTGCCATCGCATCTCATCTTTTTTTCAAAGAAGGGGCATGGAAGAGCCCCAAACACAACCTAAGTATTCATTGGCCTGAAAGGGATATGTGAGGTTGAGACTTCTGCCATCGCATCTCATCTTTTTTTTCCTTGCCCTTTTAGTAGTTTATAATTACTTTTTTCGTAGAAAATTTTTAAATATTACTAAAATAATTTGGATATGGAGAAGTATAAATGTGTATTATTCCAGGATGGTCCATACTTGCAGCTGTAATTGATTTGCTAAACATGGGAAAACTTGCTTTCCTTGTTTTCATTCTCTTCCTTCACTACTTTATGGCCTCCTTGGCATGGAGCCAGGGAAATTCCACTGTCGACATATCTGCACTCCTTGCTTTTAAAGCATCTACTTCGGATCCATACAATCTCTTGGCCAACTGGTCTACTCTTCTTCTTCTCCATGTGATTGGGTCGGTGTTGAATGCAATACACGCCACAGGGTTCATTCCTTGAAACTTAGTGATGCGGGTCTTAAAGGCATCATATCTGCACAGCTAGGAAATCTATCATTCCTTGTTGAACTTGATCTAAGCATCAATGATTTTTACGGTGAGATACCAAAAGAGTGGGTACAATTGCGTGGGTTGAAACTGCTCAACTTGAGCTACAATGACTTTCATGGGCAAGTTCCAACATGGATAGGACATTTATCTATGCTTGAGTACCTGAGTTTTCGAAATAATAGTCTTATTGGATTTGTTCCATTATCTCTATTCAATTTATCAAGGTTGGAGATCTTGGATTGGAATTCCAACTTCATTCAAGGAAGCATTCCACCTGAGATAGGAAGTTTGAAGCACTTGAAGATGTTACAAATTGCAGGGAACAAGCTTTCTGAAACCATTCCACCGACAATTTTCAACTTATCTTCACTTCAAAAATTGAATTTGTCTCATAATACTCTGTCAGGTATGTCATGGATGATTCGTAGTGTCTATAGGTGTTGGTTTCTGATGTTTTTCTCTTGCTTTCCATGTTTTGTATATTTCAGCACGCCATAGGAATAACGATTTCGTCTATGGATATTAGTCCAGCCAGATTGGAACGCTCATGGCTTTTTGAAAATAATTATTTATTTTAACATTTAAAGTATATTATAGGCGTTATCTCTCAAAATGAGTAAGAAGATTATGGTCTCAAGTGCATTGATTATAAAGTTAAGGTATAAATTTGTTATGAAAGTTTACACTGAGGAGCACTGAGGATTCAAAAGTTTTTTCGATTTAATATTGTCCTGAAAGTTTAAAATCATAATAATTTTTCCTCCCATTATTGAAAGGCTAACATTGACCGTTAAAATAATGATACTGATCATTAACATTTTTAATGGTATGGGGCAAAATTGTTTACAATTTTAAACTTCGTTGAACCCAGAAAAGCTTGTGAGACTATTTCAGACCTTGACTCTTGATTATATTAACTTATGACGTTACTGACGTACTCCATGTTTTCAATATTTTAAGGAGCTATTCCAAATGAAGATATTGTATATCTCACAGACAATTGATCACTTTCAGGTACTATACCATCTCTATTATTTAATAATTCAGAGCTGCAAGAATTGTCACTCTCCCAAAATCAATTATATGGCGGTCTCCCATCCAATGTGTGTTTTGGGGTCCCAAGACTTGAAATTTTCTCTGTGGCTGAAAACGATCTCTCTGGTGAAATGCCATCTACTTGGCATCAATGCAAAGAACTGAAAGTTTTGGAATTAGGTTTTAACAGATTCAACAGAGGATACATACCAAGCGACATTGGAAATTTAACCAATCTTCAAGTTTTGCATCTTTCAAACAACAACTTGGAAGGTATGAGTTCTAATTGTAAACCCTTGATATGTTAATTGCAAATTTATTTTCATAATGTTTATAGGTCATTAATTTGTAATACAAATTATCTGGATATATAATAATTAATATTCGACTGGATTACTTTCCAAAACACAGATAATCAAAGCATAAACATGCAATTCAAGTATTGTCAATTAGCTGTAGATTGTAGATAGTTTAATATGAAAGTGAATATCAATAAAACAATATGAACTAAAAGTATCCATCTTATTTTTTTCTTATATTTCATTAACTCATCCACGCCATAAAAATATCGACTTCCCAAGTCAGAGTGGTTTTAGAAAATAAATAGTATTTTTTTACATATTTATTATTATTTTTAACCAATTTTATAGACTCATATTAAATGACTCCATCTTCTAAGTGTTTTTAATGGAAGTGTAATTTAAAAGTCAAGGCAGACTTTTTTGTTTGTTTGTTCAGTATGTTTAACCTTTGTACTTTTGTTTATTAATGTGAAATTAGTTTTTCATAAAGAGAAAGGTAGAGTAACATCATCAATTGGCAATATTATATTGCACGTTGTTTGAATATTTATATCTGGAAGAAAACTACTTAACAGGTATATTCTCAATCTCCTAAGCCACCAATTTTATTATTTAACAAAATTTCATTTATCATATATAATATATGTGGGTACGGGCGAAAGCAAAGCTTGTTCTATATTATCTCCAAAATTTCTAATTGAAAACACTTGAATTCCTTAAATAAAAATAAAAATTCTTTTACGGTTATATCTTGTAGCAGAATCAGTGTTCTATAGTCAATACTCAATAGTAATAAATTAGAACAGGACTCTTGAAAAATGCATGCATGATTAAAAAAGGCATATATGGCTTATCATTGAGAGAACTTTTACTAAAATATAGGCTTAATAAGCAAGGCATATAGGTTATTAATAGTATAATATTAATTATCGTTTTGCTGACATTAAATTTTAAAATTAACAGGAGAAATTCCATCATCTCTCTTCAGCAATTCTTCTTTAAGAATATTACGTTTAAGACAAAACGGTTTAAATGGGAGTATACCAACTCTTGGGAATCAGACAATGCTGGAAACTTTAGTTCTAAATAACAACTCCTTTTCAGGTATGGTCAATCTACTCATCCATCAATTTGATGCTTCAACAAAATTCCATTTATTATTTGCAAAGCTTATATTCTATACCATCTCTAAAATTCATAAATTGTTTTTGTTTCCCAGGTGAAATTCCTCAATCTGTCTACAGCACACCTTCTTTGAGAATAGTTGACTTTACCTATAACCGTTTAAAGGGTAATTTGCCAGAAGATATGTGCTATAAACTCCCTTTACTTGAAGTTTTTGAAGTTGCTTTTAATCATTTTGATGGACGCATTCCAAAGTCAATAAGTAACTGCACATATTTGCGAGGCTTATTTTTGGATCAGAACTTCTTTTCAGGTACGCGCAAAGAGTTGTGTGCGGGTGTGTTTACAATTTTGTCACATGTTTATATAGTACTCCCTCCGTTCCTTATTATAAGAGACAAATAACTAAATTACGTTGATAAAAAAATCAGTTAAAATTAGTTGAGAACAATTAATATGTAAAAAGTATAATGTTTTTTCCAACAATGCCCCCATTAATAAGGAGAGAGAGTATGAGAGAGAACAATTAAATTATTAAAAAAAGAAGTGGGAGAGAGAGAGAGTATGAGTTGGAGACAAAATAAATAGGGATAAAATAGGAAATCAATACAAAAAAATAGAGACAACTTTTAAGTGTCTCTTATATATGAGAACATGCCATAAGTATTAAATGTCTCTTATAATAAGGAACGGAGGGAGTAATTTCATTCAAACATTCTAATATGAAAAGAAATGATTGTGATCTTTAATTAAAACTTAATGATATCTTCCAACGGGCACATACATACTTGATAATTCCAATCCTTCTTTTGATAAATTACAAAACCAAGGACATGCTCTTGTTACTCTATATATATTACTACCCTAGTCCTTAATATAAGATTTAGTTGACTATTTTGGAGAGATTAAATAAGTTATTAAATTACTTTGAAATATTTATGTTTATCGCTTTTATCCAAACTAATTTGCTTCATTTATAAATTGATATATGATCTAATAATTCGCCTAAATGTTTTAGAGATCATGTAACATATGCTATAATTAAGTAATTTAATAACCTTATGAATCTCCTCAAATTAGTCAATTGGGCTTTATGTTAAGGATCAAAATCATATAACACTAAAATTTGAGACAGAAATTGCAAAATATTTATTTGTAGTTTTATTAATATTTATTAAAAAATATCATAAAAATTGTAATTATTTAGAAGGATCAAATTTAAAAGTATACATTTAAAGTATTAAATTTTTCCTCGTCTAACCTCGCGCATTCCGTCCTACGTACATTTAAAATTAAAAAGAATAAAACTAAAACTAAAATTAAAAATGCCTATCATCCACATGACTATATCTTTTTTCAACTTTTATTCCTCACCGACGTCCATATTCTATCCTCTATACTATCATCATGGTATCATTTAGTTATTAATATCAATTTTTATCCATTTTTTTGACCAGCAATCAATATTTATCCATTTCTATCATCAATTTTTTTTTTTGTGATTTATATTGTCAATTTAAAATTTATAACGTCAAATTATGAACAAACTATTGTGGATCTCATGAAATTATGTAAAAAGAATCATGTTATTTATAATTTTAGTTTGTGAATAAATAGTATGAATAAATGGTATGATTTATTAGAGTTTTATATTATGTGTATATTATAAGATTCACTCCTCAAAATCATTTAAGAAGAATAGTCTAATCCGTTCATCATATATCTTTTTTTTAAATATCATGAATCCATATGTATATGATCTATATATAAATATAAGAGCAAATAATTAAAAAATTTATAAACATTACATGGATTTTTTATATTTATGACTCACATAAATTTCTTATAAAAAAAATTAAACAAACTTCCTTTTAATTTTTAATGGGTTAATTTTATTTTTATTTTCTAGATATATATAACATTTCTTTAAATGAAAATAATTACATCAAGTTCTTTATATTGATCATGTTACACATGACCATATGTCCTATTTTTAATATATTAGCATTTAATTATAAATTTACATGAAACAAAAAAGGACACATGGATATATACAATTGGAGAACTTAACAATACTAAAATTATATTTTTTTTATTTTTAATTAAAATCTGTTATGATCTTAAAAGTAAAACTTAAATTGTGTCAAAATTGAACGTAACAGTGTTCGTGTAATGTTTTTCAAGGGATGTCTATGCAAGTAGTAATTTTGTTTAATTTAGTAAAATTTTTTAGTAAAATTTAAAGTTTTAAAAATAGAATGCGGCAGAGATAATGTAAAAGGTTTAATTTGATTAGGGATAATTTAGTATTTTTAAATTTATATTTTGATTTTTAGTTGTTTAAGTAATTCTAATTTTTATGATCATTATCGATAAATATCATTCTCTCTAGGTTCTTCGTTCTAATTTTTCCTGCATAGAATCCTTGCCCGAAAATTAGACAGAGTCTTTTGTGACACAAGGAATGATAAAGATATTACCCACATGTAACTTGCTAGCTTGGATGTAACTAATTTCTTACATGGATGAAATTAGTTTCCTCTCTTTCCTATATTTAGGTGTAGACTTCCTAGCATAGGAAAAATTTGAAATTAATAAGATATCTAGAGTTTTCTTGTAATATAGAGAAGTGAATTCAAATTTTTGAAACATACATACTACTTCCAATCTTTAATATAAGAACCCGTTTGATTTTTATTTTGATCTTAAGTATAACAGCCCAATTTACTTTATCTCTGACATTCATCTATTTTTTCCCAAAATAGTCCGTATAATAATAGTAATTTTAGTCAATATACTTGATTAGCAAGTATATTTTAATTAAAAAACACATATTTATTATAAATAACTAACTTAACTAATTTTCTTAATTTACTCAATTAGTCAACTAGCTCTTATATTGAGGATGGGAAGTAGGATGCTACAGGAACACCCACGTACAAAACATATCATGTTACATGTTTTGTCAATTTTCTACTTCATATAAATTTTATCATCCATTAACTTTTGTTTTCTAAGGTAGTTACCCAACAGCTTTTAATCTTGTTTCCAGGTCTTATACCCAAGGAGATTGGCAATCTTGATAAGCTTGAAGATTTGATTTTAGTAACTAATCATTTCAGTGGATCCATTCCTTCTCATATATTCAACATTACGACATTGAGACGTGTCTACCTTCAAGAAAATTTCTTTTCTAGCTTTCTCCCATCAAATTTAGGAATTGGCCTTCCCAATCTGCAGGAACTAATGTTGGGACAAAATCAATTTATTGGACAAATTCCAATCAGCATCTCAAATGCTTCTAAGCTCACTATTGTAGATCTATCATGGAATAAGTTTAGTGGAGATATACCCACTACACTTGGGAATCTAACAAACATGATCGCATTATATTCTGAGGAGAATGATTTGAATGGGATGATTCCAAGTACAATTAATGGACTGCAAAGCCTTCAACATTTAAGTCTTAGCAACAATAGATTGCAAGGGTCCATCATAAATGAATTGTGCCAAATCAGAAGTTTGAGTGAATTGTATCTAGCCGGCAACATGTTTTCAGGGATGATTCCAAAGTGCTTCACAAATACTTCTCTGCGGAGGTTAGATTTAAGCTCTAACAAATTGATTTCTCATATTCCTTCTTCGCTTTGGAGTCTTGAAGATATGTTATTCTTAGACTTATCCTCCAATGCATTGGGTGGAAGAATTTCTCCTGAGGTGTCAAACTTGAAAGCAATTATACTTTTCAATTTGTCAAGAAATCAAATTTCAGGAAACATCCCGACAACTATGGGCAATTTGAAAACATTGCAAAATCTATCTTTGGCTCATAACAAACTCCAAGGGTCTATTCCTGAATCATTTAGTGGCATGATAAGTATGGAATCCTTGGATCTCTCCCAAAATTATTTGTCTGGAGTGATTCCAAAGTCCTTAGAGTTACTTGTCCAAATGGAGTACATTAATCTTTCATACAATTTATTGCATGGAGAAATTCCAAATGGTGGGCCTTTTCCTAATTTTACATATGAATCTTTTATGATGAATGAAGATCTTTGTGGGGAGCCCCAGCTCAACGTCCCTACATGCAAAAAAGGAAACAAGCACATCTCAACTAAAATAATGCTTGTCATCAAATGCTTATTGCCTATAGCTTCTGCAATCATTTTGGTTGCCTCATGCCTAATGTTTCTTAAGTTTAAGAAGGGTCATGTTAGTCATGAGATGAGTAATAGAGACTCCTTAAATTTGGATACAGTGGCTAAGATATCCTATTATGATCTTTTGCAAGCAACAAATGGGTTTGATGAGAGTAATTTTCTTGGCAAGGGAAGTTTTGGATTAGTCTACAAAGGAATTCTTTCAGATGGAAAGATAGTTGCTGCAAAAGTATTCAACTCAAACTTGCAAGAAGCATTAAGGAGTTTTGACATTGAATGTGCTGCCATATGCAATTTACGTCATCGAAACCTTATTAAGATCATTAGCAGTTGCTCAAATGGTGATTTTAAATCTCTTGTAATGGAATTCATGCCAAATGGAAGTCTTGAGAGATGGTTGTACTCCCATAACTATTGTTTAGATATAGTGCAAAGATTGGACATAATGATTGATGTGGCATCAGCGTTGGAGTATCTTCATTATGGTTCTCCTATCCCAGTGGTCCATTGTGATGTGAAGCCGAGCAACGTTTTATTGGATGAAGATATGGTGGCCCATTTAAGTGACTTTGGAATTGCCAAATTGCTAATTAACCGTCAATCAGAAATTTATACAGAAACTTTGGCTACAGTTGGTTATATGGCACCAGGTAGTAATTTAGCACTTATATTAAGTTTTATTTAATTTATGTTTCTTATATTCATTTATGCCTATATACACGTGCACAAACAAATATGCTTATATACGTACGTGCATATGCTAGAAGAAACTATAAGTTATTCAACTAGTTAATTTAGCACTCAAAATTATATGTAGAGTATGGATCAAAAGGAGCAGTTTCAATGAAAGGAGACGTATACAGCTTTGGTATTTTGCTTATGGAAATGCTTACAAGGAAGAAGCCAACAGATGAGATGTTTACTCAAGATCTGAATCTGAAAGAATTTGTTAGCAAATCAACGCCACATTCAATCATCAATATTGTAGATGTCAATTTGCTGCACACAAGCAACCAAAAAATTGGTAATATATTGCTGCATATATCATCAATTTTTGAGTTAGCCCTAAATTGTTGCGATGATGCACCTGAGGCAAGACCTAATATGTCAGAGGTTGTGGTGTCACTGGGAAAAACCAAGGTCATATTAATGCAAAATATTCAAGGAACCACTAGCTTGTTGGATAAATGTTAAATCAAAATTTATCTGCAACAATCTTTCACCCTTTGGATTATATTGTTCTATTGTGGGAACATATATGGAGAGTGATGATGTCTCGTGTATTAATATATTAATGATTTGAAATTTGAGAATTTTGAACTGCGCATCTGGGTTTTGGTTGTCTCAAGTTAGTCTTTATGTGTTAGAAATGTACTTTGAATAACAATATAATTCATTCCATTTTATCTTCAAGATAACTATACAAAGTTTGGAAATTATTGTCTTTTTTTGGGATTCATCCAACGTCCTGAGATATTCGAATTAAGAATCTGAATGAAAGTGACATGAATAGACTTGTATGAGAACGTTAAACTATGGAAGATAGGTGTTAAACTGAACTCTGTGCTCTGTTTCTATGGCTATCATGAACATCCATTGATTTGGGTTATTCTGGGCAATGATTAACTGGGAACTTTGAGTCTGGAAAAGAATAAATCAAAGATTAATAACGGAGGAAGATTTGCATTCAAATAATGGAGCATAACAGTTTTGAAGTTCTAGGAATCAGTGAAAGAGGAAAAACATAGTAGGAAAGAAGGGGTAAAAATCGATTTCATGTAAGAAATCGATTTTTTCATTGGCATAGAAATCAATTTTGCATTGCTGGATTTGAAGGAAGAAGACACACCTGTAATGAAATTGATTTGTGCAGACGTGGGAAGAGAAAATTAACGGCAAAATAGAGTTAAGAGAGAAAGGGAAGATGAAACGTGGATGTTTTGGGTATCTTATATCTTATTTTTTATTTTTTAAAAAACTTATTATTTATCTTTTTTTAACCCTTTCTTTTTGTGTACGAGGTTCTAGTGCTCAAGGCGGAATGTCTTCATTACATGCTCTCTCCACTTACTCTTCATTTAATTAAAATACAGAGTTTAGGATAAAAAATAAAAAAACAAAATCTGGTCAGTTACCCCCCCCCCCAAAATCTAATGTCGTCCCTTACAAATTCAGCTGCTCGTGTTCGTCCATCAGAAAGTGGTATGTGAGCAGAAATCATCGGAGAAAAAGAGGTGTTCATCGGTTTATATGCATCCCTTTTATGTTTTAAGTTTTTGGCTACTGGCTTCTCATAATCGTTCAACCAGAAAAATAATACTACAAAAAAGGAACCATTTCGTTTCCATTCTTTCCATACTAACCTTGGTAGTTCACACTTTGTATCATAGATCAAGGAAAAAGTGATAAAAGCCCCCAAGCCATTCGATGAACTATGATAATATCATCTCCGGTTCTTAATATAAGAGCTAGTTGACTAATTTGAGTGGATTAAGAAAGTTAGTTAAGTTAGTTATTTGTAATAAATGCATGTTATCTTTTTCAAAATATCCTTACCAATAAAATATATTAGTTAGAACTACTATTATTATAAATACTACCTTTAAAAAAATAGATGAATATAAGAGACAAAGTGGATTATGATATTATATTTATGACCAAAACAAAAGTCAAATGAGTTGTTATATTAAGGACAAAAGGTAGTAAAATATATATATATATATATATATATATCAGAGGCTGCCTGTTTGGATAAAAAAATCGAGAAACATGTCTCAAAAGTGTATCAGATCAAACAAAAAAGAAGTCCTAATTTATTCAAATGAATAATTAAAACATGAATGCACAAAGTCAATAAAAATGGTAGACAGATATAACTGGAATAAGGATCCTCTATTCCAAGAAGTTGCTTCATCTCATCGGATATGAACGAGAATGAATCTCATCGAATCATATTCAAAGGCCACCATGATGGACGGGGATGATGAAGAGCTCTGAACATTCAGAAATCTCTGGGGGGGTGATGGAGGAATAGAGAAAAAAATAACGGTGGCTAAAATGAAATTACAAGGAACGGCTCAGGGTTTGTTTGGATTGACTTATAAGTAGCTTTTAAAATGTAATTTATGAAATACGAGATAAGTATGTGAAGAAAGTTTTATCTCAGCTTATGTAAACTTAAAAGTCTATTTTGAATGAAGCTCCAAACAAACTCTTAGTGTCATTGCAAAAAGAGACGATCTAGATTTTGTTTTTTACCCTAGACACTATGTTTTAACTAAATGGAGAATAAGTGGAGAGAATATGCGATGGAGACATTCCGCATGGCTATAAATTTTTCTTTTCTTTTCCATTGGGTTTCCTTCGCTTCTATTTCCTTCCTTTCCATCCAACGCATGAGTAGTACTACTTTAAAAACTTATTTATTGCATGCATTAATAAATTTTTAAGACTTTTATAATTACATGTTATTGGATATATTTATTTAGATTGGATTGGAATACATGGGGTCTAAAGAATAAGTACTATTGTTATTAAGATTTCAAAAGGTTTAGAAAAATTTCTCTTTAAAAAAAAGAGAGGAAAAGTCCCTTCACATGAAAAGGCACGTATCTCTCCGGTGAAATATTTGGTAAACCCCTCAGTTGCTTTCATTTTTTTTTGGTAGGAAAAAAAATTTAAGTGAATTGGATCCTGAAAACTTATTAGAATTAAGGTATACCAAAGCAACAACCAAAAAATTTTTTGGATTGTCATGTCGAGCCGAAGTTTCCTTTGATGACCACCCTCATTCATTGTGGATCCTAACAAAGCCTATCTTACATCAACCCAATTGATGAAGTGGGCCACTACCAAGACCATTATATGTAGTTACGTAAATGGCCTTGGGCTTTGGTTTACACATGTCATTATTAAAGTGTCCGACAGTCCACGGTTGCAAATTGCCTACGTATCTATCTATTACTATTATAAGGGAGGGGTCTCCGCAAAGCCATCTAGAAGTGCGACAAGTGGCACAACGAGGAAGGAGATAAATACTTTACTTTTTTATTTGTTTTTAAATAATTAGTCCTCTCTTTTGCAATGTAATAAAACAGTAATATTAATTTGTTGTTAAATGCAGATTTCAGTTACCCAACATTTTGTTTCTAAGTATTTTGATTTAGCTAGGTTTTTCCGAAAACTGTGGTTGTTGGTTAAAGAATTTGATTTAACATGTTTTATTTTTTTCCCCCGAAAATATGTCACCGCTGTTATTTTTTACTGGGGATAATTATGTTAATTTTGAACTAATTAATTATTAAATTTATTTGTCCTGATTGAAATAAATATCTAATTGACAACTTTGTTTTGGAGAGTAACAACAGATATACATGCAAAAAATAAAATGTTGATTATTATCCTACTATTCAATATTGTTTAGATTGTACTCCACGTGGATCCTGATTGATGTTTCAGAGGCCGTTGATATTTTTATGTCCGATATATATGCCACGAATTTCAATCAATACATATTATAATGGGCTTGAAGGTGGTAAGTGGGGAGCTTGTAATCGTGTCTCCGATGGTCCCGCTTTAGTGTGAGTGCTTCCGACGGTTACCCATATTTTCATTGTGAAAGGCCCTGGACAGTTTTTTCATAATGGGCAATAGCCACTCTCCAAGTTAATCAGTGATTAAGGGGTTTGGAGTTCATATTATTTTTAAATGACAAAAATAAAACTGGTTATTAAGATATTAATTTATTCCCTTATATATATATATATATATATGACAATAAAAAATACTTATAGGTAATAGTGTTTTATACTTAAAACTTTCTATATATATTAACTCAGGATATGTATGAGAGGTGTGCTTGTATATGTTAAAAAAATATCACTGCATTTATTAGGCATTGTTTAGTTTAGTTATATTTTTGTTTTGTGCCCCACTATCTGAAAATCCGCTGCCCACTATGCGCACAACTATGACATATTCTGTTCTCTGTAACCGCTATGTACTATGGGTGTCAACTGATGCTACATAACACACGTGCATCACCCGTAACGTTCATTTTCCTATTGTAACCGCAGATGAATTTTTTCCTATATAAAGAGTAGGAGCCTATAGATTTATTCCTATTAGTGAATTACTCCTGTTGTTACTGCACCATCTGTTTTCTCCAAGTGTTCACATGGCTTCTGCATTCGGTTCAGTTCGTGCTATTAACCCATACAGACAAAATTGGAGAATCAAAGTTCATGTGGTTCGATTATGAACTATGCCCCGATGCTACTCTCATGAACAAATATCATCCATGGAAATGATTCTTAAGGACGAGGATGTAAGTGTTTTACTGATTAATTTAGGCATGTTAGTTCTTATGTTCTAAGATTTGTTTTTTTACAAGGTCACAACATCCATGCTACAGTTAAGACTGCCTTCCTTCCACGACATCGCAAGAATTTTGAAGAGGGAAAAACGTTTGTTGTGTCATATTTTTATGTTTTTCCCAATACAGGCTCGTACCAAACCACTAATCATCCCTATCGAGCAAACTTTATTTTTTCTACTTCTGTTCGACCATGTGTGGATGATGACAAAATGAACAACTTTGGTTTTGCATTCCATTCATTCTCTGAAATATTATCTGATCAGTTTAATGATCGATATCTAATTGTTAGGCTATTATATAAGTGTTGGATATGTGATTATTATGTTAAAATTATTTGTGATGATCTAACTCTCTATTTTCTCTTGTAAATGTCATGGGGTTACTAACTGAGATAGGAGAAAAAGAAGAATGCAATGTCAATGGACACACATAGTTCAGGCTTGATGTAGAGTTACTAGATGAAAGGTATGCTCTTATTCTAAGTCTGTTTCTCTCAGTTTGACCAAGTCAATGATTAAAAACTTAGGTTTAGAGTGAAATTTTTTTCTTTTTGTTTCTTTCATTTTCACAGGAAGGAAAAAGTAGAGTGTACATTGTGGGGAATACTATTATAATGGAGGGGTCTCCGCAAGGCCATCTAGAAGTGCGACAAGTGGTAGAATGAAGAGGGAGATAAATGCATCAATTTTTTAATCGTTTTGAAATAAAGAGTAATCTCTTTTACTATTTGATAAATCATTTAATAATTGTTTGATTACTGCATATCTTGGTTGCCTCATGTTTAAGATCATGCACTATGGAAGGAAGACAATTTCAT